CTGATTAACGTGTATTATATAAGCATGATTTTTTATTTCAAAAATTAAAAAATTATGCAAAAAGTCAATAAATCTCATCCTAATTCACCAACTATAGAAGAACGTGAGTCCAACCGCATACCTATCTCTCAGCAAGAAATTGATCTTAGTAATGAAGACAATGAAATAGTTAATTTGGTAAATGAACTTATTCAAGAGTTTAAAGATGTCTGAACTACAAAATGATTGGATCGATTATGGAATTCGTCGATAAATACTAGGTCTAAAACAATACCACGTCCACAAAATTGTTTTATACTCTTTCATAATAATATATCAAATCCAAGTCAAACAATAAAATAAAAAGTGGTGTAAAATAACAAATTTATTCTAGAGTATTCATATACTGTACCTGCTTGCATCATTAATATTAACTCCATCTACGGAAGAATTATCGAATTGCTCATCACGTTGTAAGATTTGGCTATCATATTGTTTTAAGTACATATCTTTGCTATCATGAACAAATGGAGTATCAAGAAATTGCTTATTCAGCTTTTTTTAACCAGAATTTGTACATATTTGTGTAGATTCCGTGCAGACAAAAAACTGGACACTCTAGTATATACGCATAGACAATTTTGGTTTAATTGATCTAATGAAATATTAATTTAACGTTGGGACATTGTGATATAGCAAAATAGGCTGAGACAGTGAAAATGCACAACACTGGGTCTGTATAACAATATAAAAAGTTATTATATATTATCATTATAAATCTAGATAAATATTGTTTTGAGGATTATTTATAAATAACTTGAAAGGATCGAATCTTTTTTAAAATTTATTTGTGCAAAATTTAGGCGCAAATTTGTTTAAGAATGCTATTATAAACCCTTTTGAATATATAGATGTGACAATATAAAAGTTTTTAGTTATTATAAATATTGTTCTGAGGATTATGTATAAACGGATCGCTTTTTTTTAATAAATTGCTATATTTTTATTAAGTTTATCAAGAATTTTTTCAACCCCAATTTTATCAGCTACGGTGCCTTCTATTAAATGCGCAATTTTAAACCTTTCTTTTAACACTAGTTTACTTGCAGCAGAGAGAAATTTATCTTGGGCATCAGCATTCTTAGGGACTCTACAAATATACAATATGGTATTAATTTATTTAATTTATTAATAATATTAAATTTATCTTTTTAGTAACATACCAAGAAATTAATATGATTTTATTT